TAATAGCTGTTGGAGTGGTTAAAATTAGTGTCAGTTCCCTCTCAAAGGCTTCTAGATAGGGGGAGAAAACAAATTTATACATCATTTTAGAACCATAGCTGGTTGTCTCCCTTAGCTAAGTCTTACATCTAAGCAGCACTTTCTGATTATGAACAAAATAACCAATGAGAAATAATTGTCTAAATAACTTTTTATATGGACTTAATCCTAATGTCTGAGAAGTGTAATCCCTTGAACTCTTAAAGAAATATACTGATCACTTACTCTTTGGTTATACTTCCCTTTTGGGTATTTAAGACCATACAGTTTACCCAAATAAATCAATTTATTTTTACACTTAAGGTCATTTGAGGATCTGTTCCTCAGGGGTCACATGGGCTTCAGAGGAGCTCCTGGCTCCTTTCTTTTACCAGTTCCATCTATGTGAAGATAAGTCAAAAGTCCCGCTCGACCATGGCTGGCTTCACTTGGAAGCATGAATGAGATGTTTCCTCTGAGATGACCCTCCTCTTTGTAGACTGGATACTGGTTCAAGTCCATCTCGTGGGGTCTCCATGGCCTCCCTGAACAAGAGGACAGTTACCGGACATTTTGAGAGACATTCCATAGTCCCCTGGAATTTAGTAGACCTTGGAGGGCAAGGGGAAAAAACTGTCCTTTAAATCCCTCAGACCACATTAGTATAGGCCTCAAACTATGGCTGTTAAACATCCAATAAGGTTAGTTCCACCAGTCTGGTACTTTTAATTATCGTGTGCTATGTAGATAAAGCTTGGGTGAAAAACCAAATATTCTCAGATAAACCTTGACTAGATGTATATTTTGCTCGTTAAACTTGTTGACTAAACTATGACCACAGACATTTTAAGATTATGTGTATATGATTTTCGTCTCATCCTTTATATATCATAACAAACCTACACAGACCTTCATCACTTGCTTAGGCTTTCTCATTTTTTCTGTTTTGGAAAATATCTCCATTCCCATATCCTTTAAACATCTTTTACATTCTCATTTTCTTACCGAGATAACTGAGGGGTTGATGAGGTGTATGTATGACATGAGGGTATGCAAACTGGAAAGTCTGGCCTTCCCCAGATTGTATACTTTAGCCCTCCCCAAATCCAGGAAGCCATGTGTGATTAGGGCCAAATTACATACAGTTGGCTGGGAAGAGTGACTGTATACTCCGGTGAGGGTCCAGTGACCCTGCTTGGCCCTCCTTTAATGAATGAGCACAACTGTCAACAAGCCCAATTGTGATGTTTAGTGATCAGGCACAGCTAAAGTTGTGATGATGGTAGTTATTTCATGCAGAAGGGACTGCTGTATAGCATCATCTTATTAAAAAGACCACCACGTGAAGGCAGGATCTGGGGACTCTCAGCCAGTCCCATGTGTTCTCAGCCCCTCTGCCAGAGGGAGGCCAGATGGAGGCCAGAGCTAGGCACTCTCTGGCGGTCTGCTCCCCAGACAATTTCTTTCTGAAGGAAGTGGCTATGCCTTGTTAACCACAAGGATTAAAGTGAAGCCAGCTCTGCTTCTTTAGCAACAACTGACTAGAGTAAAGACCAGTACCTGAGCTGGAGCTGCTCAGCAAGGATGGTGTTAGAACTGGAGATGAAGGAGAGGTGTGCAGAGAGCCTCAGACTGAATGGCACTAGAGGAACAGGAACAGGAGCCAGATCCGGTTTGGTCCCTGGGAGGAAAAGGAAGCAATGTGCAAGTTCTCCACCAGGCTTGAAGTACCTTCCAATGTGCAGAATGCTAGGAAAAGGAGAATTGTCCCAGTAGTGAGGCAAGGTGTGTATTTTCCTACTTCTCGATGAGGCATAGAACAAAACCCTGTTACCTAGTGGTTCTCATTCACTGAATTTGTGACTGGAGCATAGAGGTGTGGGCTGTTCACTAGAAGCGCCTGTTTCTCTTTCCATAGGGTAGAATTGTTGCTGGGAGGTGGCTGCTCAGACAGGGATTATGTTTTGAGTACCTCCTGCATCCAGCTGGGATTATGTGACTAGTCATTCATAGAAGTGATGTGAGTCACTTGCAGACTCAGGCAGCAAGAAGTGACTTCCCCATGTTCTGGTCTATATCTGCCAAGACACAAAGGCTATAGAAATGGAAGAGAGCCACGACTAGAACAGCCTGAGTCACCATATGGAGGAAAACTGCTTGTTGAACAGGATCCTTCACTGGGCAAGTTATGTAGTAAGAAAGATCCCATAATTTGGGGGTTATTTGCTGCAATATAACCCAAATGAATAAAGTGACATTATTTTGAGTGCTAATATTTTTTGGCAGCATAGTATGACTAACCAATCTGTCATAGGCACTGATGAGGCAAAGTGTTCATGGGTCCTGGCAAGTGTATTGTTTCTTCATGTGTATTAGGTTTAAGTCCTGTACCATACAGAAACCTGTGTATCCTAGCTGAACATTCTCCCTACCCAGACACTGAGTTAACATGAATTATAGCTATAGAAACTTACCTATAAAAACATAGTTATAGAACTATGTCAATTACAATGCTTTTGTAGGGCGTCTCAGTGGTCCTGCATGACACATTACTGAGATCATTTACACTGATCCGGTCAAGGGATTTTTTTTGCTGTCAATCAAAAAAAGAAAAGAAATTAATCTAAAGGAATAAATATGGCTGTACTAGTACACCCTAAATAATTAGATACTATATACAATTTGTTAAACATGTCCCATAGTTTTTGGACATTTAGGTTGTTTCTAATATTCCTACTGTCATAAATAGTTACATATATGGAAAAGGACTACTTTTGAATATATCTTTGCTCACACGCTTGTTTTGTTAGGATGGATTCCTACAAGGTGATAGCTCTTTTTGCATATTTGTTAATGTCGACCTTAAAGGACCAATAGGAAACAGGCACATTTTGTGTGAGTAGACAGGAGGAGAAAGCAAGTGTTGGCATGGATTTGTGAGTGTATTCATTCTTGCCGCAGCCTGCATGGGGAAAACTCAAAGTCCTTAAAACTCTGTTGGGGATGAGTCCTGACACAAGTGCGTTTCCTGGCAACTGCTGAGGAGGTCGAGCTCTTTCAGGTAATGAGAAGCCACTGAAGAATGTAAACAGGAAGTGAGTGACTCTCACTTAGCTGCTTGGCTCTAGGCACTGAATGCCTGAGTTTCTGTATAGGTAAAAAGGGGTAGACTCATCTTCTAGTGTGCCAGGAAAGACTGAGCCACCTAATGAACACCAAGGTGTCCACCTTGGGCCCCAGCAGGTTCTGAGAGCAGCCCTATGAGCAGGCTAGGCTCTACCTCCTCTGTGTGATCTACTCAGCAGAGAAGTAACTTTAGAAAACTCAACCTGGATTGTTTGCCATGACCAAAGATGCATGGGATTTGTGGGTGAATGCCTTTGAGTGGACTTCCCTTTTGAGGACTCAGCTGAGGCTGTATTTGCTGTACTAACTTATCTTTGTTTTAAAGTAGCAGAATTTGAAAGATTAGGTTTATCCCTCAACACATCAGCTCTTAACTTGGAGTTGGGAACCACCTGCTGTCTTCTGTAAGGAAGATGCAAACTCTAATGATTATAATCTATCAAATATGTACTGAGTACCTGCTAATTCCTGACATGGTTTGGCTACTGGTAATATGTCAATGACAAAGAGGAAAATTGCTGACCTTGTGAGCCTTTCCTATTGGGAAATATAAATGAAATGCAAGTAAAGAGGGAAACTCAAAACATTAAGTTGCAGTAAGCGTCATAAAGGGAAAAACAAGGGTGCATGAGGTGAACGGAAGGAACCTGTTTATGGTAGAAAGTCAGAGAAGGTTGCTCTGAGATGGGGACATTGAAACCCATCCAGACTTAGAGGAGGAAGCAGCATTAGGGTTGTACACATGGGCTCGACAGGGGAGAAAGGTTTCCAGATGGAGGGAAGAGTGGTCCAGTGGATGTTGGGATCCCTGAATCTGCTACTCCTATATCTGAAGCACACTGAGTAAGGGGAATGGTGACGTGAGATAAGCCAGAGAGACAGTGTTTACAAGGGTCTGGTCAAGAGTTACCGGGCAGTAGGAAAAAAAGAAACTGACAAGGGCAGGCTCTGTAGATTCAGATGGACTTGAGCGTGGGTTGTATTTTCTCTGCCAGCCATTAGCAATGTGATCTTGCACATCGTTATCTAACCTTCCGAACCTCCATTTTCTTGTCTGGAAAGTGGATAGCTGGCACCCACCTCATAGGGATCTTAAGAATATTAATGAGAAAGAGGATGTAAATACTTAGCAAGGTGCCCAACATGTAGCAAGTACTCACTCACATAAGCCATGGATTTTACTACCAAGTGGAGGGTGGGAGGGAGCCAGACAGACTGTTGAACTCACCTCTGTGGCATGGTTTGTGCCATGGGCAAGTCTCTGCTGCTTCTGTTTTTCATCCATGACTTAGATTTCAAATTCCTGCCCTGGAGGACAGGTTATGGTGGAGATCATACAAGGTGGTTCATGTGCAGCCTCCTGAAGGAAGAGCCATTGGTGCCTTTGAAGCATTTAAGAATCTTTTGAGTAAGTGTGGTGGTTCACGCCTTTAATCCCTGAACTTGGGAGGCAGAAGAGGCAGGAGGGTCTCTGTGAGGTTGAGGCCAGCCTGGTCTGCATAGCAGGTTCCAGGCTGTCTAGGGCTACTAGGAAGACCCTGTCTTAAAATTTTTTTTGAAATACTTTGGTTGTTTTAAAAAACATTTTTCTGTGATGACCTGTGACCCGGGAGTTGTAAGCCAAATAAACTCTTTCTCCCCTCACCCCCCCCCAATTTTTCTTTTTTTCCGAATATGCCCAGTGTCTTAATAAACCCTGAAAAAAGAGGCAACCAGAATGAAAATCAGTTAAGTTTTGGGTCTGCCTTTGCCACCCGGTGGTGTAACTGACAAAAGCAAGGTGGAATTTTTTACCATTTTCTGGTCCTCAGGGGACCTGATTTCCTAGTTTCCGCCATCAGTTCCTTCCAAGAAGGTGCAAGCAACTGTGCTGGAGTGGAGAGCCTGCTTACCTGACTCCCAGTGCTTGGCACTGGGGGAAGAACTGCAAGACACGGCCTGCCCCGCGCGGCCGTCGGCTGCCCGTCGGCTGCCCGTCTGGAGCAGGCATTTTCCCTCTCCTCATTAAAACTTGAGGGCAGTTGGTGCTTTGGCAGAAACTCTGGGGACTGTACCGGGGGTGGGGGTCGGGGGCGGACAGTCGCTTGAGCTACAGCTACTCTTTGTTCTTTGGTGAAACGGGAATGTGCCTGGAAAGGGTTCAGACTCACAGAAATTGGACTCTGGAGCCCAGGAGTCCACACCTCTTGTGAAATGGGGCTGCTATTATGAAGTGACGGTGCCTCAGCAGAAGGAACCAGCAGCTGGTGCTGGCTTCCTGGACACTCCTATAGGCTGGTAGCTGGGTGTTCTGGGAAGGATTTAAGATCTCAGGCCTGTACAGGAAAGGGCGTGTCCTTGCCTTCTAGCTAAGGCTGTGGGACCCTCTGGTGGCCGCAGAGTGAGTAGCTCTGCAGTGGGGTTCGCTTTTTCTTGAGTGGCTCAGGCAGAGATAGGGCGGGAAGCAGTGTTTGTAAAGCAGAGGACTGAGAGTGGAGTTGGGAAGATGACGACAGATCCTGATTTAGGTTAGCACCCTGCTGGGAATACCCTACTTTAACAGCTCTGGAAGGATTTCTCAGGGCTTGAGGAGTGTGAAAGGAAATGCTCTATGTACAAGGTGCCTTAAGGAGCTGGAGAGATGGCTCAGCCGTTAAGAGCACTGGCAGAAAATACCAGCACCCACATTGGGGCTAACAACCATTTCTAACTCCAGTTCCAGGGGTTCTGATGCCCTCTTCTTTCCTCCCCAGGTATTGCAGGATATGGTACACTTACACACATGCAGGCATAACACACACATAATATAAAAATAAATAAACCAAAGAATTAAAAAAAACAAGGTGCTTTAAAAAAGTTGAAAATGGAGATGGTAGATTGAGCTGTTTGGTGCTGTTATGAGGTGTTTCATCAAAGACCACTCAGACAAAGTTTTGCCAAATGAAAGTCTTTTATTAACTTGCCAGCAACTACATAAGAGTGTCAGAACCCAAGTGCAGTGTCCTGTTGGTGTTAGGGTAAGCTTTTATACAGAAAAACCATATTTGGGGTAAAAAGTTTAAGTTTCCAAGCGTTTCCATAGCTTAGGAGTGGAGAGTCCTCTAACAATTCCTATTTTGCCAAAGTGAGCCAAGCATACCGTACAGAAGCCATAAATGTGCAGTTAGCAGGAAGAACTAGGGATGCAGACTTGTTCTCATGGCAGCTAGTGGCCTGTTGACGTGCTTGCAGCTGAGCTGCACCTCTCTATTCCTATACCCTGGCCCAACTACCTTTTAGTTTCAGAGGCTAGATTCAGCCTAAACTTCAATATGGCAAAACTATGGTCAAGAAGGTGCCTTACTACAGTGCCATATGTATCAAAATGCTGTTTGCACATAAAACTCAACCAGTTTTATTGATTGACTTTTAAATAAATTCCTTCTCACCATTTTAAGAACAGATTGTGCTGGAGACTGTCCTGCTGGTAAGCAGTGGAGTACTACCGAGGTCTATATTGATGATATCATATAAGAACAAAGAGTACTCCATGTCTCTTCTGCTAAAAGTTCACATAGGGATTTTATAATCCACAAAGTTCTGTTTCTTATAATAATATCAAGAGATACTTTAGGGGCTGGTGGTATATCTCAGTGGTAGAACACATGTTTTAGAATGCTTGGGAACCTGGATTCAATTCCCAGCACCAAAAAAATTATTTTAGTTTGTTCAGTGTTGTTATTATGAACAATAATCTGGAGCTGGAGAGATGGCTCAGTGGTTAAGATCACTGACTGCTCTTGCAGAGGACACGGATTTGATTCCCAGCACCCACATGGTGGCTATGAACCTGTGACGGACCAGCCCAGACTGGAGCAATTCAGTCCAATGGGAACATGGTCCTCAAGAGAGTGGGCAAGGATTCGGCGAGTGACAAACAGACACACAAGAACTTGGTGAAGGTCTGAGCGTATTTTTGCAGCTGCAAGGTTTGAAATATATACAGCAAAGATTGCAAAAGTTCATCATCAGCATGACTGTTCTGTAATTAGTCACTTCCTAAGATTTTCAGTAAAAGTGAAACA